GAAATATAAAAAATGTTCATTAAATATAGAAAATTTTCATTCTTTTGAATCGCAAACATTTTAGAACTCAAGAACTGTTTTAAAGACAATTCACAATATTTTGAATTTTTTGAACTGATCCCGAATTATTTTAATATAGAATAAAACAAAACAGAAAATAAAAAATGGAAACTAAAAAATGAAAATCGAGAAACGAGAAAAAAATTGGGGCGCCGGCCCCGCGCATGGGCGGGCCCAACTGGGCGCGCGGGGATGTGCGCTGCCGCGACTGGGGGGCGCCCACGCGCCATATAGGAGGTCTCTGAAAAGTGAGGAGTGGTGGTAGGTTTTTTTTAGGATCCAGCGTGGACAGGTGGGCTCCTGCTTAGGGTTCGGCATGTGTTGTTGGGTTGGGCAAAATGTTGGGCAAAATGTTAGAAGCAGAAGCAACTTGGTCGAGGGCCAATCCCGTAAATACATATGACACCTCAAAAACAAAACTATTCCCTCAATATAGAAAAAACGTCTTATATTTAGGTACAAAGGTAGTAAATATGTATGTGTTTTGGTTACGGAAAAACCACTGAAGTCACTTGCACCTGCAATGGTTTGATGATACTTATTTGCAGCTCTGTTGCCTTTTTGTCTAGTGTTAAGTTTATTTACAGTATAAGCTTTGGTTTATTTATACTGTAAATTTTAATGAAACTATTTTGTGTAGGGTTTATTTGGTTTAGGTGGAGGTTGATTAGGTGCATATATTAATTTTAGGGTTTTTATCATTTATGTCACCCATTGTGTCTCACTACTCAGTTTTGCCACTAGGAATTTCAACTGCTCAAAAATGCCATCGCTTCGTTAGACACATGCTCAAAAATGCCATTGGACACCATTATTGTGATCTCAAATCTCTTTTGCCATGTTATAATGACATAAATATCTATGAACCAACATGCCAGCTCTCACTCTATCTCCCTACAATAAAAGCATGGGGCCGACTTGTTCCCAATAGCGTTCTTATTTTCCTATAAAATTATTCGCTTGGTTACTCCTGACAAGTGGGGCCACACTTATCATTGTGAGATAGAGAGAACTAACATGTGGGTCTACGCATATTTTTGTCATATAACATGGTCAGCGGGTTTGACGTGAAAATAACAATGTCTAATGCCATTATTGAGAAAACATCTAACAGAATGATGGCATCTTTTAGATATCTAATGGTATTTTTGAGCAAGCATCTCACGAATCGATGGCATTTTTGAGTAGCTGTAACTTCTAATGGCAAAACTGAGTAGTGGGACACAACTAGTGACATAAATGATACTCATGATGTCATGCACATGTTTTAATTTAAACACTATACTCGTGCATATGGTAATTTTGAAATTGATCCGTTATAGTTTCGATTTAGGTTAGTTTGAGTTTAGGTCTAGCTATATACTATGTCACTTGCGTGTTAATTTGAACGATGATTATGCTTATGTTAATTTTGGATGGGATCATGCACTTATAGACCAATGATGAAACTCAAACTATTTTCTATTTATAAACTGGTAGTTTTGACTTCATCTTTTTCGAACACACTTTTTCCTGCACTCACGTTGGATATTTATTGGAGTTTCTCAGCACAAGATTTTAATGAGGCAATTCATACAGCATATGCATATATGTCAGCATCATTTCCGCATTTTGTCTGCACTAGGTTTTTGGGAGTTTTTATGACCCTACAAGTACCGTTGATCTGCAGAGGCCGGGGGATAACCTCATTTTCAAAAAAAAAACAAGTACCATTGATCAATGGAGAGTGGAGTGTAGGATTCGGACACCATCACCAAGCTTGTACTTGAGCATACACATCATTATCTCTCGAGACTTGTGACCGGTGTCTATCTTTCAAGGGATCTAAACGCTCTTATATTTCTTTGCAGAGGGAGTAGAAGATAAGGGGGCCGGGATCCAAGCTAGGTATCTACGAAGACATAATTATATTCATCCTCTAAAAACAGTAAAAAAAACGGTCGTATTCAAGAAAAGGCAAAAATGACTAGTAGGAAACAACATAAAACAGGTCTAGTTAGGCGTACGCTTAAACGTGAAGAGAAAAATAATCATTATTGGAGCTTTTATCTATGGAGAGTAGATTCTCTACAAATTTTCTACGAACTATCACTAGTAGAAAAAGGACCTAATGTGAGACACGTTAGTCCCGGTTCGATTTTGGCCCGGTACTAATGGTATCATTAGTGCCGGTTCGAACGGCTATGCATTAATGCCGGTTCGTTATGAACCTTTAGTATCGGTTCGTGCCACGAACCGGTACTAAAGGGGTGGTGGCAGGCTGGCATCAGGTCGGGGCCCCACGATCACCTTTAGTACCGGATCGAAACCGGTATTAAAGGGGTTTGACCTATAGTCCCGGTTGGAGACACAAAACGGGACTCCATTTCAGTTTTGAAAAATACAAAAGAAAATGATAAAAAATTCAAAAAATAAAATTCTTCGAGAAGTAGTTATATTACTACATCTACTAGTTAGGAAAATTAAAAAACTTAAATTTGGACATGTTTTGCAAAAAGTGTAGGGAAAATGTAAAACGGCTATAACTTTTGCATACGATATCGGAAAAAAACGTATAATATATCAAAAAATTCAGCACAAAAATCCGTATCCGATTTTGACCGCCTACGACATGTTTGCATTTTTTTAGAATCCTCAAATTCCAAAAAGAAAAAAAGATATGCTCAAATTTCAGTTTTTTTATTTTGGTTAAATATGGTCAAACTATGGTCAAACTTTTATTGAAGAAGTATTAATGTTGCAATATAATTATTCAAGAATATTAGTGTTACTAAATAATTATTTCAATTTTTTGAATTTTGGTCAAATCTGATCAAACTATGGTCAAATTGTGGTCAAACTTATTCAAGAAATATTAGTGTTACTAACTGTTTTTTAGAATAATAGTTCCAAACTCAAACGGTGAAACGTGTGACATAATGCTCAAGCTAAACTGCTGAGGGTTAATAGGATTGACAGCTTACATTTGTCAGGAAAACAACAAGTGCAGACTTGGAAAGTAGGGGGAATAGAACTCCGAAGTTAAGTGTGCTCAGGCTGGGGGAGTGAGAGGATGGGTGATCGGCCGGGAAGTTAGATGATTTGAAATGAGTGATCCACACTTGAGCAGTTAAGAGGGGTGATTAGAGACTAAATCATCAAATAATTTAGAAAATTGAAAATGAAAAAAAAATTACAAAATTTAAAAAAATAAATAAAAAAACCTTTAGTACCGGTTGGTAACACCAACCGGTACTAAAGGTCCCCCATACCATGACGCGAGCTCACGACACGTGGTGGGTCTTTAGTGGTGCCGATTGCAGAACCGACACTAAAGGCCCTTACGAACCGGTTTTAAAGCTCCGTTTTCTACTAGTGTATGTATATGTATTTTCTATCCATGCATGTGAATGTCTTCGGTTCCATATCATGCACACAATGATAAATGCATTCATGCCTATGCTTAGTGTTGGACACACGAAAAAGTCAGGCCCCGGGCTGACTCAGGCATCCTTCAGAGCACTGTAGCTACAGTGGTGTACGGTAACTACAGTCAATGAAGTAAGTCGGCGTCACGCCCCAGGCAGCCCTTAATTTGAATGCTATGTTACTCGTGCATTAATTTGAATGCTGATTATGCCTATGCCAACTTGAATGGGAGCATGCACTTATAGCCCTTTTGAATTATGGAACAGAGGGAGTAGTTCTGACCCAATTCATGTCAACTTTGTAGAACCCTTGAGGCTAAAAAATAACTTTGTCGACCCTTTTCTCATGCGCTTGCTTTAGAGACTTATTGCAGTTTATCGACACGTGATTTTGATGAGGCAATTCATACATATATATATGCTGGTACCATTTCTTCGTTTTTACCACACCTTTCCGTTTTTCTAAGGCTTAGACTTTGCAGAACAATGTAT